TCGCCATCCCCACTGCCACCATTGCCGCTGTCGCCATCCCTGCCATCGCCATTGATCCCTAAAACCCTAAATCCCTTCTGCCCTTCTCCTCTGCTGTTCCCTGCTCTCCCTTGCCCTTCCCGCCGTCCTTTGTGTTTGTATGTGTGTGCCCTCTGCCAGTGTGCTCATGTGTTCACGGACATATGTGTGTATGTATCATGGGTCATAAAGGGACAGCTGGGCATTGAACCCAGACCCACAAGAAGGTGGGTGGCACCTCTGCCCTGTTCCGATTCCCGCCCCACCCCGCGCCTGCACTGCCCTGAACCGCCCTGCCCAGCGCAGCACAGCCCTCCCCTGCACCGCGCCGCGCCGCGCAGCGCCGCCCTCCCCTGCGCCGGCCCACGCAGCGCCACCCTCCCCTGCACTGCCCCGCGCAGCGCCACCCTCCCTTCGCAGCGCCACCTTTCCCTGCGCTGCCCCGTGCAGCGCCGCCCTTCCCTGCCCCACCCCGCGCAGCGCCACCCTCCCCTGCGCCGCCCCGTGCAGCGCCACCCTCCCTTCGCAGCGCCACCCTTCCCTGCGCTGCCCCGTGCAGCGCCGCCCTTCCCTGCCCCACCCCGCGCAGCGCCACCCTCCCCTGCGCCGCCCCGTGCAGCGCCACCCTCCCTTCGCAGCGCCACCCTTCCCTGCGCTGCCCCGTGCAGCGCCGCCCTTCCCTGCCCCACCCCGCGCAGCGCCGCCCTCCCCTGCACAGCACCACCCTCCCCTGGGCCCTCCTAGCCGTACGCTACTCTCCCGTGCGGGAGGGCGACGTTGGGCTAGGGGTGCGCAGGGGAGAGTAGCGTACGGCTAGGGGTGCGCAGGGGAGGGTGGCGTTGGGCTATAGGGTGCCAGGGCAGGGCGGCGTTGGGCTAGGGGTGCACAGGGGAGGGCGTCGTTTGGCTAGGGCGGCGCAGGGAGAGCAGCGTACTGCTAGGGGGGTGCAGGGGAGGGCGGCGTTGGGCAAGGGGGGCACAGGGGAGGGCGGCATTTAGCTAGGGGCGGTGGAGGGGAGGGCAGTGTTTGGCTAGGGGGGCGCAGGGGAGGGCGTCGTTTGGCTATGGGGGTGCAGGGGAGAGCAGCGTACGGCTAGGGGAGCGCAGGGGAGGGCGTCGTTGGGCTAGGGGGCCGCAGGGAAGGGTGTCGTTGCGCTAGGGGGGTGCAGGGGAGGTTGTCAACCAAGCACCTCCACCCCCTTCATCCCTTCCCCCTTCACCTCCTCCACCGTCGCCACTGCCACCATCTCCACCTCCGCCCCGCATCCCCCTCTCCTCTCTCCCCCCCATATCCAACTTTGCTATCTTCCTCCCTTCTTCAATGTGTGTTCACATCACCCGATGATGCAAAAGGAGGAGAAACATTTCTATAAAATACCTTATGGACTACGGTCTCACCTGTTAGGTTGTCGGGGCTCCACTGCATTTCCGCCTGGCCCTTCGGCGGACTCTGGACTCCACTCCATGTCCACCACCACTGGAGACGAGGCGCCTACACTAGTGTACTGACAGTACTGACAGGGAGGACCTAGCTTCAAATCGCTGATGATCTACATGTGACGTGTCTGCTAGTTTCGTTTATTGTACCTGTTTCATCTCCCATGCATTCCCATCCGTTCTCACCTGCACCTCCGTCGCCAACCGTTGCTTCTTCAGTGGCAACAATACGGATCTCCACCTCTCCATCCGCCCCAATGTGTCCAGGTGATCCGTCACCTGGGAATAGCAGGGCATACGTCCACGACACCATGAAGGGTTCATCGTCGTCCCCGCAGTCGCATGTGATCACATGATGGCAGCTCCGGTGACGGCGACTCAGGCCACATCATTGGCAACATGACGCGGTTGCCCGTGACGTCGCCTGAGTCGCCATCACCGGAGCTGCCATCACCACCACCCCGCCACCACCCCGTTCACCCCATCCCCTTCACCTCCCCTGCCGTCACCACGGCCGCCATTTCCACCTCCGTCCTCTTCACTGCGGCAATCCCCGCCCCCCCATCTCCGTGGCCGCAATCACCCCCACTACCCTCTCTCTCCCCTGCATTCCCATCCGTTCTCACCTGCACAGCTGTGCCGCCGTTGCCCCTGACGTCGCCTGAGTCGCCGTCACCTGAGCCATCATCACCACCACCCCCTTCAACCCATCCCCTTCACCTCCCCTGCCGTCACCAGTGCTGCCATTTCCGTCCTCTTACCTTATGGACTACGGTCTCACCTGTTAGATTGTCGGGGCTCCACTGCATTTCTGCCTGGCCCTTCGGCGGACTCCACTCCATGTCCACCTCCACCGGAGACGGGGTGCCTGCGCTGACAGGGGGGACCTCGTTTCAAATCGCTCATGTCCTACATGTGACGTGTGTGCTAGTTTCGTTTGTTGTACCTGTTTGGTCCGGTTTGTTAGCTTGCGGCTGTGCTCCCGCACCAACCACCGAAGGGCCCGCCGGAACGGGAGCTTGTTGCTGAGGACATTCATCTGCATCATATTGGACGTCGCAAGTTTTAACCATACATAGTAGCTGTCAATGTATTGCAGCAACTTCTCACTGCGTCCAGCGATCATCTCGTTAGGAGCCACGGCATCGAGGCCAAAAAGCTCTGTGCCATTATTACCACCATGAGGCTGGACGCACTGATGCGTGATGACGTGATTATATGCATGAGACGTGCTATGATACTTGCGTCCGCAGGACACACACGTAATTTCAAATTGCGACAACGCATATAGTCGACCGCGGCAGAGGTAACGTGGATATGTTTTAACTGAAGGGGCCATCTTTATTAGCTATTATTACATCTTCAACAGAAAGCAGGACTTGCGAACAGATGCTGTGTGCATTTGTATGTTCTGAAGGGCCCTACAGCCCTTCATTCTGGGACAAGCGCAGACTTAACGAAACCTTACGTTTGGAGTATTTGTACAGTCATAAGTAATTAAAACAATCCCTGGCATGGCGATATTACAAGGCTTTTGCATGCTAAGTGGCCATTTCAGCCGAACTCCGTCGATATGCTCTGAAGGCCCCTCAGCCCTTCGTTATGAAATGGGCACGAATGAGCACGAAACGACAACTAGATGAAGGGATTCCCGGGTATCG